CTTGCAAATTTCCCAGTTTGTGATCTACTGTTTATAGATAACCTTTTTTTTAATTTCAGTTTTGTGAAAGGTCAATTATGAATTTTTAAAAGGCAAGAGCATTTTAACTATATTCAGGAAAAAAAAACCTCTTACTCACTGGAAGTGATATTAATAAGACACAGTGTAATAATGCTTGTATCTAAGTCTCACATCATCAAGTATATTGTGTAGGTTGAGGACCCCTAGAGTCAAATGGGTTTTCTGCTTCAAAAATTGGTTTCTCAGGGGGCTCGTTCATCCTTCAGAGTGATTTCTTGGAAAATGTTTGATGGTGTTGGTAAAGCCCCTTGTGCTTTTTTGAGTCCATCAGAGACAAATATGGTAGTATGTAAAAAGTGCCAAGTGAGTCAAGACCCTTGTGGTCCTGGCTGTTACTGACGATTCCTGAACTATGAGCCAAAGTTATTAAATTAGCAACCTGGATAGTGCCTAATGAGTACCTTCCCTGAGCCCAGCATTATGAACTATAAGAGATAGGATAATCCTTGCCTGGAAGGGGATGACAGTATGGTTGGGGAGATGCAACTCACTGATATGAAAATTATAAAATATCCAATTCAATCCAACAAGCATTAAGTACCTACTATGCATTAGGCACTTGGCATACATATCCCCTCCCACCCTTCACTCCTCATGATCCTTTGGTGATACAAATGGTGAAAGGAAAAACAAAAGTAACTGCCTTAAAGTGGCTTATATTCTACTGGCAGGATACAACATCTAAGTAGATGAGTTTTTGCAGTATGATCTTAGGGGGAGGGAGAGAACTATAACAAGTAAAGGGGCCAGGCAAAGCTTTTCTGGAAGAGATGGCCTGTTCATTGAGCTTTGAAGGAGGAGAGGGATTCTGCAGGAAAGTCTGTATTGAAATATTCCATCAGGTCATACAGATTATAAACTTTATCATAGAATAGAGGAGGGAGCCAATGGAGCGAATTTGCTAGCTAGCCCTCAAATCATCCTCTTGAGGACTTTGTGATTGAGGGTCTACTCTGAATATTCCCAGTGTGAACAGTTATTGCAAAGCCCATGCAGAGAAAATGTTAATGAGACAACATGAAATAGTGGGAATGCGCTTAGATTTATATCTGGGCTCGGACTCTGATACTTCCTGCCTGTGTGATCTCTGAGCCTCACTTTCCTCATGTATAAAACAAGGAAGTTATACTAGATGGCCTCCAGGACCCCTCCTACTTCTAAATCTGTTATCTTATGATCTATGACCCCATGACCTGCCAGAATTAAATAAAACATTGCTTCCTCCTCACCACCTGACAGACAAAAGAGGGAGCTAATCTTCAGGATCCATATCCAATGCTTTCTATTCAACCATGTTGCATACACATCTTTGCCCTCCCCAACTCTTCCCACCAGCTACTCCCTTCAAAGACAAACTTTCACCACCCCAACACCCCTCCAGCATACTTTAGCACCTGCACCCTTTAATTACTATTGATGTCACCATTGGTATGTGTCAATGGAAAATTTCCCATAGTCCCTAGTTCCTCCAAATGATTGAGTTCTAGTTCTCTTCTGACCACTCTTCCCCAATGGGGCTTTCTTGGTATTTCTCACTTCCTTTCTCATAACCTTATACTTGAGGCTTCGCTTATGTCTGGAATGTACTTCTCCCCACTGCCTATTGGTTTCTTTGGTTTTCTTCAAAGCATAGCTCAGGTATGACCTTTTTCACCTTCTTCACCTTCATTATCCCCCAGATGCTAGAGCATTCTCTCCCAGAATACCTTAAAATATATACACACTTATTCATATATTTACATGTTGTCTATCCCATTAAAATATAGGTTCACAATGTCATAAATATGGAGCTGGAAGGGTTCTTAGAGGCAATCTAATCAACCTCCCCCCCCCATTTCACAGATGACAAAACTTAGTCCCAGGAGGAGAACTGACTCGTCCAGCCAGGGTCATAGCTTGTGCTGAAAAGCACCATGCAGGTAATCTAGTCTAACCCCCTCATTTTATAGATGATGAAACTGAGACCAAGGGAGTTTAAGTGACTTACCCAAGGTCACACAGATAGTAATCATCAGAAGCAGGATTTGAGCCCAAGTCTCTTAAAGTGGTTTCTATGTCCACTATACTGTTCTCCATCTCCCTATGAAGTTTAAACCACTTAAGTGATATATGATTCGCACATTTGACTTCCCTACTCAGTCACATCCAGTAGCTCCCTATTCTTCCTATAACAAATTAAATAAATAAATATAAACTCTGTTTATTTTTCAAAGCCTTCACCACCCGGCCTTAACTTAGCCTTTTTCTTTTCCAGCCTCATCTTTCCCTCTAGCCTCCCTCACAGATTTGGCAAAAATGCCTTCTCTCTGTGCCTCACATGTGAGACTCTATTTCCTGTCTCTGAACCTTTGCACTGGAGGTTCCCCTATACCTCACCATCCCCTCAAAGAGGGCCTTTGTTCCTTTAATACAAAGCTCTAATGCTGCCTTCTGTGGGAAGCCTTCTCCTGATTCATCTTGCTGATGTCCTCCCTTGTTCCCCCTAACTACCGCATACTGAACTTCTTTGTATTTATTATCTTTACATATTTTTTCTATGATACTTCTATATGTATTTATCTTTGAGGAAGCTAGGTGATCTAAATAGATAGAAGGTATCAGGAAGATCTGAGTTCCAACCTGGCCTCAGGCACTTGCTAGATGTGTGACCCTGGGCAAGTTACTTAACCTTTGTCTGCCTCAGAGCTGGAAAAGGAAATGGCAAACCACTCCTGTATCTTTCTCAAGAAAACCCCAAATGAAGTCACAAAGAATCAGACATGACTGAAAATGACTAAACAATAATAACAACAAGTCTTTAGATGGGTTTGGTGGGAGGTGGACAATAGCACCCCTGGCTCCCCACCAAAAACATACATACCATTAATGTCCCTGTACTGGACACTCTGAGGAAGAAGCTTTGTTTGACAAGAAGCTATGAACTCATTTCACTGAGGCACCTAGACTTATTTTTTTTTTTAGCTTGCTGCTCTGATATTGGTTAAATTCTTCTATTCAGTGCCCGAATACCCCCTCTTTCTATGTTCTCCTTCCTCAATCACACTCCAAGCCTGAAGGAGCGGATTCCTTTCATCTGGTGTAAGTTTGCCAAGACCAAGTATAAAAATTGTCTTGAATGGATTCCTTTTAGCAGATGTAATCAAAGAAAATGAGCAGCCTTGTTACTGAGAATATGGATGGCACCTTTGGGCCCCTTTGATTTTGCACATGTGCTCTCCAGCACTATTATGTGGTGGAGGGTCTATGTTTGGCCATCATTGCTGATGCTGCCACGAATTGTTTGGCTTGAAGGTAGCCTAATGGTTGCAGTGTTTTAATTATTTTAGAAAATCAGTCCTTTTCAGAGGAACTAACTTCCATTTCTGAGTTCCCCTGGTTTCCTTTCACACTCAGCTCAAATCCCATTTCTATACTCTTTGTCTTTCTCTCTCTGATTGATTATCTGTAATTTCCCTTGTCTATGTTTTGTTTGTGTATAGTTGCTTGCCGGTTGTCTCACCCAACAATCTGTGAGGTCCTTGAAAGAAGGGATGACAATTTGTTGGTTTCTTTGTTTTTACACATTTTTGTATCCCTATCACTTAGCACAGTGCCTGGCATATAGAAGGTGCTTAATAAATGCTTGTCCACTAGATGACTGATTTCTCTGATGCTACCAAAACCAAATGCCATCTTTTTGGGAAAAGGGGATTATTCTCAGTTGTTCCCAGTTAGTGATGTCTTTCTTTTCCATACTACTTTCCAGTTGCTCTCTAGACAGAGAGATAGATATAAATTAGATAGACAAATATAAGACATGTGTGTTTATGCATGTACTGAATGCATAAGTACACATATGTATATGTATATATGTACATGTGTATGAACACACACAAATACATACATGCACATGCATACGCATTTATATACACACAGGTTTTAGATGCCTGTGTACACACATACACATTTTTGTACAAACATGCATATACATATGTACACATACATGTACACACATATGAATACGTGTGTGTAGATAGAGATAGAGATGACAGCCACATGGTGCAGTAGATAGAGTACTGGGCCTGAAGCCAGAAAGACCTAAGTTTCAAACCTGCCTCAAGTATAGCTGTGTGACCTTGGGCAAGTCACTTAACCTCGCTTAGCCTCATTTTTTTCATCTGTAAAGTGGGAATAAAATAGCACCTAACTCCCAGGGTTGTTGTGAGAACCAAAGGAAATAATAATTTTAAAGTGCTTAGCACAGTGTATGGCACATATAAAGTGCTATATAAATATAAGCTAATTGTTATTATTTTATAGATTATATTGACTAGATTATGTAGATCACATTGATATATATGACATATGTGTATGTATTTATATCTAATTTATCTGATGCAGATAGCTAGTTATTTATATATTTCCACCCCATTAGAATATACAGAAAATGCCTTTGCCTTTCTTTGTATGCCCAGTGCTGAGTACAGAGTCTGGCTCATAGTAAGTTTTAATGTTTGATGACTAACTCACTGAATAAATACAAAGCCAAAGGTAGCTATTTCTGCACACGGGGTAAGTGTCCTTACTTAGTCACCAGAAGTTTATAAGTTTAGCAGCACATGGTTGGTACGGTGTTGGGGGGTAGGGAAAGGATGAAGAGTTGGGAAGGAAACCTAGCCTAGGATACTGTTAGGTTTAAATTCACAAGTGGAAGAAATGCCCCTGGGACAAGGTTACTACCCTGGGCAACAAAGCAAACTGGAGAAGAAACACTTTCTAATTTTCTGCTCTGGGGCAAAGGGCTAATTGCCCTACCGTAGTTATGCCTCTGAGAGGATGTAACCACTTTGCACACTCTCCTTGACTAGTTACAAAAAATAGTCAGTCTGGGGTCTCCTTGCTTCTTATTCACATTCTATTTTTCTCTGATACCCACATAGGCCATCATGGCTCAGCTACCCCAAGAGGAAAAGGCAAAAATAGCCGAGCAGGTGGAAATCTTCCATCAGGAGAAGAGCAAGTTGGATGCCGAAGTAGCTAAATGGGATGACAGTGGCAATGACATCATCGTCCTGGCCAAGCAGATGTGTATGATCATGATGGAAATGACAGACTTTACGAGGTAAGGTCTCATGCCATTCTAATCAAAGACAGTGATTGGGAGCTGTCCGAGATAGCACGTCTCTTCCCGGAGTTGGCTGACTGAATTGCCAATTAACATCATGCCAGTCAGCCAACTATAGCTGAACAACCTATTCAATTAGATCCCATTACATTTGCCAAATAATTATTTAACCCCTATTGGGTGCAGAAATTTACATTTATTTCTGCCTGGCTTGATATTGGTTGTCAGCTCAACTAGCCAGTTAAATTTCTGGAAAGAGAGAAAGAGCAGAGACTTCTCCCCTGGGCTTCAGTATCATAATTTGTTCAATGGAACTAATGATGCTATAGTATCTCTGTATATTTCTGTGAGACTCAAATGGGTGTATACTCCTTTGCAAGCCTTAAATAGCTATATAAGTATAGGCTATCATGATCTTAGATTTAGGGCTAGAAAGGATTTCTGAAGCCATTTATATTAACTCAATTTTACAGTTAAGGAAATGAAGACCTAAGGAGATTGCAACCCAAATCACACCAATAATGAGCACCAGAGGCAAAGTTCAAACTCAGATTCTCTTCCCTCTCTAGAGGGCATCATCATTTTTGTTTGTTTCATTTTTTTCTTTTGCTTTGAAACCTCAGTGCCCTATTTTGCTAAATGGGGATAATCTCTGAACTTTAGCTATCACATAAAGGTGGGTTGCAATTAAACAAGTCAATCACATCTTTAATTACCTGGAGCATATGTATTATGGTAATAGAAAGTGGTGTTATCCAACCTTATCCAAAGCAGTTCCTTCTAAATCCAAAACAATCCAAAAAATGTTTGTTAAATGCTTACTATAGAGTAGGCGTGGTGGTACTTGCCAGGTATTACGAGCACAAAAATGAACCAGCCTCCAGTGAATGTATATTCTACTGGTATGCTTAGCACAGTATGCCTGGCACATAGTTTATGCTTAATAAATGTTTGTCTATTCTTGGCTAATGAGTAGACACCAATGATCAAAGTTGAAAGACTTAAACAATGCTAAGATGTCACTATGCTGGGGACCCTGTGGGTCTTTAATTGGCTCTGGAATGTATCAACAAGAAAAGGATGGATGTAGATGTAAGTTATGAAAGAGATGTGAGGTCCAACTTCACTTATGTGTGGTGGAGGGTAAAGGTTGAGCTGCCTACCAATAGTCCTGTCTATTCATTGTGACTTGTCTTGAACTTCAGCAGAACTGGTGCCTGCTGGATATTCCTGGGACCTTCACATGCCATTGTGTTCATTAATGGGATTGATGAGAGAATCCATTGGATCTTGCTTTGACAGCTTCAGGTCATCAAAAATAATAGTTTAGCTTCAATCTGAGCACTTTTCAAAAACAACTTTTTTTTTAAACAAATCTGAGCTATCAGATCAACCTCTATTACCCCACTGCAAGGCTTAGAATGACTCAATTTGCTTCCTATCAGCATTTTAATGACAGTTGGGCATTATGTAATGCATTAATGACATGCCTGATAGAAAATAATTACATTATTTTGAGAAAATAATTAATCTAGTCATGTTGCTAGTTGGGAATGGGAGTGTTTCATAAAGTTCTGAGGATGACGTATTGTTATAATCAACTGAGACACATACATTTACAAAGTCTCATCTTTTGGTATTAAATCAGACAGAGATTGCTTTAATCAAAACATTCTTGTAAGAATTTCAGAAACACTGGTTAACACCCTTCAGTTATCACATGGCTCACCAGTAGAATGTAAACTCCTTCAGGGCAAAGAATGTTCTTCATATCTGCCTTTGTATCTTTGTGGTTCAGTCATGTGATTCCTTGTGACTGCATTTGGGATTTTCTCAGCGTGATACTGGAATGGTATGCCATTTACTTCTCGTACTTATTTTACAGATGAGGAAACTGAGGCAAACAGGATTGAGTAACTTGTACAGAGTCACGGAGCTAGTGTCTGAGGACAGATTTGAGCTCAGAAAGATGAGTCTTCCTTAGTCCAGGCCAGACACTCTATTCCCTGCACCACCTAACTGCCCTTTATATCTTTAGCCATTAGCACAATACCTTGGGGATTGAAGATGCTTAGTGCATGCATTGGATTGAATGGAATTAGTTTGCATTGTGATGGTACATTATGTATTTAGAACATGCATCATTCCATGAAGAAAATGAAGAGAAACAACATTATGATACCATAGAAAGCATGTTGGACTTGGACCAGATAAGACTTAGGTTGTAATCCTTCACTTTTCATTTCCACCTCTGTGACCTTAGACAAATCCCTTCACTTCTCTAGGAATGCTATCTGGGATGTTATGATGCTCACCTCCACAGCAGACAAGATCTACCTTTTTTATTTGTTTGTTTTACTTTGTTTTCCATGTAGCTCATGTGTACTTTCTTCAATCAGTCTTTTCTGATCCATTAAGTTCTTAAGGCTCATTCCCTCTTGGAATAATTTTCTGAATTATTATTTTGTCTTTTTTTTGCATTTCATTATATTTCTCTGTATCAGATCCTTGAAAGTAAGAACTATCTCATTCTTACCTTTGCATTCCCAGTGTTTAACACAGTGCCTGGCACATAGCAGTTGCTTAATAAATGTTTATTAAATCTCACTGGGTTTGGAAAACCAAACTTTCATGCCATCATTGATTACTGTATGTTTTTATTTAAATTTTTTGAGTTCTTTGGAAGATTACTCTTTCCTCCAGGGACAGGAAGAGTGAAAGAAAAGAAGGAAGAATGATTAATAATAATAATAACAAAATAATATTTATATAGCCCTTTACAGATTGTAAAATACTTTACACATGAGGAGAAGGCACAGAGCCGTGATTCTCATTGGCATAGGGCCCTTCCAATGAAGATAATCTCTTTGCCAGTGTAAGTTATACCTTCTCACAACATACTATGCTAGAGGTGCCTATGGGAAAGGTATCAAATCACACCAGACTGCATGAGGTTCATAATACTCCCAAGTGTGGCCCCAACCAGATTAAAATATAGTTCCTACCTGATTTAAATGTGTTGATGTATTAATTTTAAAAAAAAGTAATATAGGAATGTGTGGTGCAGACTGCAGATATCCCTCTGTACAGTTAAGAGACTCATTTCAACTTGAGTTTGACAGCATTGACCTAGATCAACAAGAGGTCAAGTGACTTGCCCAGAATGGCATTTATAGGTCCACTACCTCTTGCTTTACAAATATTATCTCATTGGATCCTCACAACAACCCTTTAAGATAGGTGCTATTATTATACCCATTTTATAGATGCAGAAACCAAGGTTAAAAGATTAAGTTCAATTTGATTCAATTCTATATTTATTTAGTGCCTACTATGTGCCAGGCACTGTGCTAAACACTAGGGATAAGAAAAGAGGACAATCCCTGCCCTCAAAGTGCTTGCAATCTAATGGGGGGCATGTAAACACATATAGACAAGAGCATGCTATATATAGGATAAAAAGAAAATAGTTAACAGAGGGAAGGCACTGGAATGAAGAGGGGTTGGGATTGCTGTAGAAGATGTTGTTTTAGGTGGGACTTAAAGAAAGCCAGGGAGGCTGGTAGTTGGAACAGAGGAGAGAGAGCATTCCAGGTTTGGGGAACAGCCGGAGAGAATGCCTGGAGCTAAGAGACGGAGTGTCTTGTTCATGAAACAGCCAAGGAGGCCAGTGTCACTGGATTGAAGAATACGGGTCAGGGAGTCAGGTGTAAGAAGACCACAAAGGAGGAGTCAAGGTTATGAAGAGCTTTGAATGTCAAACAAAGCATTTTATATTTGTTTCTGAAGGTAATAGGGAGCCACTGGAGTTTATTGAGTGGGGGGGAAGGGTGACATGATTCACCATGGATGATAGGAAAATCACTTTAGTGGAGGAATGGAGGACAGCCTTGAATAGGGAGATCTTTGAGGCAGGCAGACCCACATCAGCTATTACAGTAATAAAAGCATGAGGGGATGAGAGCTTGCACCAGAGTGCAAGGGAAGTCAGGGAGTGTCAGGGGAGAGTAGAGGGTGTATTTGAGAAATGTTGCAAAGGTGAAATGGGCAGGCCTTGGAAAGAGATTGGATATGTAGGGGTGAGAGACACTGAGAAATCCAGGATGGCTCCTTGGTTCTAAGCCTGAGAGATGCGGAGGATGGTGTTGTCCTCTACAGGAATCAGGTCCAAGGTTACGCATACTGCTCCACTGTTTCCTGCTTTACAGGAATCATCTCATTTCATTCTCACAAGAGTCCCATGAGGTCAATGTTCTTATTATCCTTAGTTTCCAGATGGAGAAGCTGAAGCAGAGGGTTCAGTGACTTGCTTAGGGTCACATAGCTAGCACGTTCCAGGAGCAATAGTCAAACTCAGCTTTTCCTGACCCCATGTCCAGCCCTCTATCCACCATGGTTGAATGCAGGTTTCAGGTAGAAGAAGAATGATTTTTGTTCAGCCTCTATAAAAATGGATTGTCTCAGTGATAGTATGAGGGCAACAATTTCCTCTCTCTTCAATCAGCAAGGTCAGCCCTGTTTTAAAACTGGATATGCTGACTTTTTGACTTCTTTGTGGGTAGCCCTGTGTATACGCAGCTCAAGGTACCATGTAGGGAGCTAAACTCATCTCCTGCTCTTCATTCAGGAGCCACCCCCAGTTCCATGGCCATGCACCCCCAACCAGGGCTGCCTCTGACACAAAAGAAGGAGATCCAATTGATTGGGACACATAATTAGAATTGGACTCCATATCTCCAAACCAAGTGATTATAGTCCATTTGTGTGCTATGGTATTCTTTTCTCTGATTATCTTATTTTTTTTCCCCTCTCTTCAACTAATTCATTAATTTGGTTCGGTAATCTACAAGATATGCACTCCATTATTATTGAAAATTAAAGTGGTTCTGCTACACTGTTTGTGTAGTAACGTCTTCATGAGGGTCACCATGGACCTTTACCTGTGGCACAAACTCAAAATTCTGCTTCCATTGCAAAGACACTAAAGGGATAATCAA